CGCCGCCAGAATCAGTTTATTCTTGCTGTTTATTTGCAACAACAAACATAAACATCAGAGAGACTGATAATCTATACAACTACAGATCCAGCACAGTGAGCCTTGACTACAACTGCATGCTGCTACAGACAGCTCAATTTACGCTAATCTGGGCTGTGGGTAGACTTGGCAATTCACACCCCAGAGGAGCACCCAGCTGACCCAGGGTATCTAGAAGGTGGTAGCAGCTGCTAATCCTTAGATGTCTGCAGAATAATCCATGAGGTAGTTAATTGCTTCAAACTCTTAGAAAATGATGTATGAACAATCGAGGCTCATAGAAACATTCCAGATTATACTCCTCCACCCTCCTTTTTTTTTTTTTTTTAAGGAGAAATGATATACTTAACTAAATATATCATGGGAATCAGTGTCTCTTCCTTCCTCTCATCAACACCTTGTCACTCCCCAAAACCTGGATTCTGATCTGAATTCTAAGTCACAGGATAGAAAAGGGGAGGGATGGAATAGTTAACTTCTTCTTTGATTTATAAGGTTGAGTGTATCAGACGGTTCTGTGAAAATAAAAGCTATACTTCTTCTGTATCAGAGTGTAGTATATATTTCCACTTGAATCAATAGGTCATTGTGCCTTTTCTGGGAAATGAACCTCAAATACTAGAGTCCCTGAGGTTGTTGAACCACTTGTTATGACAGTCCAGTAAAGAAAGCTAAACTTGAACTAAAATGATCTTTGTATAAGGTGGTAAGTTTTTTACTTTCTGGGTCAGCGATGATTGATTCATACCGTCTGGCAATTTTATTTCTTTCCTCTAATCGGTAGCATTGGGCAGAATGAGTTACCTTGTTATAGTGACTTTCTGAGGCCATTTTCAGAACTCTTCACAGTTCACTGTGATAAAAGCTAGATATTTGAAGTACTATCCCACACCTTTGTTTAAAAGGTACAGAATATGTTTATTAGCGTCTGTGTACTTAAACTGGACTTCATAAAACAGTTTTCCCAGGATTTTTCTTTTTCAGGATGGTAGAGGATTCTGTATATACTTAAAGCTAAAGCCTTAGACAGGTTATTTCACTTTTTTCTCTATCTTTATTTTCTCTTTACTAGACAGATTATATCATTGGCAAAAGGTGACTTCGCCCTAACCTTAAACAGTTAGTGTCCCACTTTATGGATGGTACCTTGTTCTTGACATCTGTGAGAAAAGTTTGAGGCAAGAAAAGTTAAATGGAAGGATAGATTAAGGTGTTATATGACATGTCCAAACACTGCACATACTTGGAATTCTGAGAATAATCATGCTGTAATCTTTCACTGTAGGTCCTGTGAAACTAAGAGAGTTCAGGCTATGTAAAGAATCTATTCATGGTGGAACAGTCACACACACATTTTGTGCAACAATAGAAGACATGTGAGCTGCATGTTAAATATAATTGGTTTGAGGGTAATAGCTAATTTTACTTGTTTTAAGGAACAGTATCTGTTTTCTGTACCCTCATTGACTCTGTATACTGTTTTTAAAATTCTAATTCAGATGATATGCAAATGGGTGAAGTTTTAAGCATATTATTTTTCTCACTGTGGGGCCCCTGAAATCTTGATGAGAAGTGGCCACAATCATGCTGTGGATTGGTGGAGTTTGGGAGCATTAATGTATGACATGCTGACTGGAGCCGTAGGTGCACAGTTAAAAGCTGCATGTATTATGGTCTGTGCTGACTCACTGTAGCAAGAGACCTGTCCTGTGCTTTCTGAAAATGTTACCAGTGGAGTTTTCAAAGCCCAGAGATTTGTTATTAGCAGTTTAACGCTAATAAAGCTGTATGATTATATGGGATCCCATACTTTCAGAAACATTTTCATTTAAATGATCTATGTCATGGCAGGCCTGTGAAATAGATGTTGAACAGATAATGCCCTCATTTTATAAATGGAGAAATTGAAGCATAAAATCACACAGCTCACTTATTATCACACAGCAAGTTAATGGTGGAAACACAGGCTTCCCTCCAGGACACTGCTACTTCCTCTGTCCTGTTGCTTAAAACTGCACTTCTGCCGGGCACAGTGGTGCATGCCTGTAGCCCAGGCCACTCAGGAGGCTGAGGTGGGAGGATCATTTGAGCTAAGGATTAGTCATAGAATCTAGCCTTGACAACATCGCGAGACCCTGTCTCTAAAACAAAATAAAGGTGTTTAGCAGTTAGCCCATTTCACAGCATACATTTTTGATCTCCAAGCATAACGAATTCAGGAAATGGATAATATTGTTATTTAAAATTTGTTTCTTACATGCTAATATTTTTCACTCCCTGTTAATATTTTTCACTTGTCTTCTACTCTTAGCCCCCATTCACTGGGGAGAATAGAAAGAAAACAACTGACAACATCCTCAAATGTAAACTCAATTTGCCTCCCTACCTCACACAAGAAGCCAGAGATCTGCTTAAAAAGGTAAGGTTCTAAAATGATCACTGACACTGTAAGATTCAATGACTAGGATTTAACTGGATAAAATTTAATGTATATTTTGAATAATATATATTGAACAAAGAAAGGCTTCAGTTTTTGAAGGCGAAGTACAGATTTGTTTAACGACTTTCTTTTCATATTCTTTTTTTTTAATTCTTTTTTTTTTGTGATGGAGTCTCGCTCTGTCGCCCAGGCTGGAGTGCAGTGGCATGATCTTGGCTCACTGCAACCTCAGTCCCCCAGGTTCCAGCGATTCTCCTGCCTTAGCCTCTCGAGTAGCTGGGATTACAGGCCCCCGCCACCACGCCTGGCTAATTTTTCTATTTTTAATAGAGACACGGTTTCACCATGTTGGTCAGGCTGGTCTGGAACTCCTGACCTCAGGTGATCCACCTGCCTTGGCCTCCCAAAGTGCTGGGATTACAGACCCTTAAACAATTACTCAGTAGTAATTAGTAAGCTTTTTTTCTTTTCTTTTCTTTTCTTTTCTGAGATAGAGTCGTGCTCTGTCATCCAGGCTGTAGTGCAATGGCATGATCTTGGCTCACTGCAACCTCTGCCTCCCAGGTTCAAGTGATTCTCCTGCCTCAGTCTCCCTAGTAGCTGGGATTACAGGCATGCCCCATCACGCCAGGCTAATTTTTGTACTTTGAGTAGAGAAGAGGTTTCACCATGTTGGCCATGCTCATCTTGAACTCCCAACCTCAGGTGAACCACCTGCCTCAGCCTCCCAAAGTGCTGGGATTACAGGCATGAGCCACCGTGCCCGGCCAGTAAACTATATTTTCTCAAGGCAAAGTAGACATGCAAAGTCTAAAAAGGAAAAAATCAGTTTGACTAAGGTTCTTTATCCAGGCTTTTTTTTTATTTTTAATCACTTTCAAGCTGCTGAAAACAAATGCTGCTTCTCGTCTGGGAGCTGGTCCTGGGGACGCTGGAGAAGTTCAGGTAGGGACTGGCATCTTTGGTATTTTGTGGGGAAGATAATGTTAGTTTTATGTATTTCTGAGGGTTTTATGTAATTGCTTATAAATTTAGCTTATTTTGTGACTTGTAACTTCAAAAAGGTGATTAATTTATCAATCCAGCAAAGTCTATTCCCCTCAACTTTTCTTTATATATATATATTTTTTTTCCTAGGCTCATCCATTCTTTAGACACATTAACTAGGAAGAACTTCTGGTTCGAAAGATGGAGCCACCCTTTAAACATCTGTTGGTAAGTGTACTTGAAAGTGCACTTTGGGTGCAGTGGCTCACGCCCGTAATCCTAAAACTTTAAAGGGCCGAGGTGGGAGGATTGTTTGAAGCCAGGAGTTCAGGACCACCATGGGCAACATAACAAGACTCCATCTCTACAAACCTGGGTGTGGTGCCATGTACCTGTAAGTCCCAGCTACTTGCGAGACTGAGGCAGGAAGATCGCTTGAGATTTTTTTAGAATAAGAAAAATCTGAGCAGACAGAAGCATTATTTTTATTAGCAGTTCAAAGACCTCTGGTTTATCCTCTCTTCAGCATCTTTGTTTTTATTATTTATTTATTTTATTTTGAGACGGGGTCTCACTCTGTCACCCAGGATGGAGTGCAGTAGCACGATCACAGTTCAATGCAGCCTTGACCTCCCCAGGCTCAGGTGATTCTCCCACCTCAGCTTCCGGAATAGCGGCAACTACAGACACATGTCACCACGCCTGGCTAATTTTTTGTAGAAACAGGGTTTCTCCATGCCGCCCAGGCTGGTCTTGAACTCCTGGGCTCAAGTGATCCACCCACCTCAGCCTCTCAAAGTGCTGGGATTGCAGGTGTGAGCTTCTACACCCAGCCAAGCATCTTTTATTTTTGTACTATCTTTTAAAGAACTAAAGCCAGTGGCAGTTGACTGTATTAGCTGTTTAGGTCAGTTTCCTAAGACAATTAAATATTTCAGGTAGTTGGGACTTTTCTTTTTTTGGTTTGTTTTATTTTCCTTAATTTAACTATTTTAAATATGATTTTCTGGGAATTTTTTCCTCAAACTATAGAATAGATGTGCATTCGTTTACCTGGGCTTGCTGAAACAAAGTACCACAAACCGGGTGGCTGAGACAACAGAAATGTATTATCTCTTAGATCCAGAGACTAGAAGTTCTACATCACGTTGTTAGAGTTGGTTTCTTTGATGACTGTGAGGAACTGTATGTTCCTTGCCTCTCCCCCGGCTTCTGTAAGAGTAAAAGGTATACCAACCTGAGATTCTTTTCCTTTAAAAAGCTGTAAACGAAAATTAGAAACCTTTTTTTTTTTTTTTTTAAATAAGAAAGAAAAGACTACACATTATTTCAGTGGCTTTTTAAAAATGCGTTCCCAGGCAGGGCGCGGTGGCTCAAGCCTGTAATCCTAGCACTTTGGGAGGCCGAGACGGGCGGATTCCGAGGTCAGGAGATCGAGACCATCCTGGCTAACACGGTGAAACCCCGTCTCTACTAAAAAAAAAAAACTAGCTGGGCGAGGTGTCGAGCGCCTGTAGTACCAGCTACTCCAGAGGCTGAGGCAGGAGAATGGCGTAAACCCAGGAAGCGGAGCTTGCAGTGAACTGAGATCCGGCCACTGCACTCCAGCCTGGGTGACAGAGCGAGACTCCATCTCAAAAAAAAAAAAAAAAAAAAAAAAAACGTGTTCCCACTAGAGGGCATCCTTTTCTCCTTAAAATTTTAGTTCATAGTTTTTGTTTGTTTTCCAGATCTTCTAAATATACAAAACAATGAGAAAGGATGGGGGATTACAAATATAACACCTTAACCTTATAATGTAGCTTGTCCAAGTTACCATTTTACAAACTAGTGATTTCTCAACTTCTTTATGACACAGCATGACTAAGCTAGATTTTTTTTTTTTTTGGAGATGGAGTGCCGCTCTGTTACCAGGCTGGAGTGCAGTGGCACAGTCTCAGCTCACTGCCACCTCTGCCTCCCGGGTTCAAGCGATTCTTTTTCCTCAGCCTCCCGAGTAATGGGATTACAGGCACGCACCACCCAGGCCCGGCTAATTTTTGTATATTTAGTAGAGATGGGGTTTCACCGGGTTGGCCAGGCTGGTCAGGAACTCCTGACCTCAGGTGATCTGCCCTCCTCGGCCTCCCAAAGCCCTGGGATTACAGGCGTGAGCCTCCGTGCCCAGCCGTGACTAAGCTAGATTATTCAGTGATGGCTTGCACATGTTATTATTTGGTTAACTCAGTTTTTGCAGAATATATGTAGTGTAAGGTAAATGAAACCTAAATGTTTTTTAATGTAATGGATATCAGTGCTATCTAGACAACTAGTGGTTATTCAGCTTTGCCTCTCAAGGCATTATTTTATAATATTTGAACTCTTGTTGCAGTTATAATACTTTTCAGAACTTTGATTTGAATATTTTTTTTTTAAACGGAGTCTTGCTCTGTCGCCCAGGCCAGAGTGCAGTGGCGTGATCTTGGCTCACTGTAACCTCCACCTCCCAGCTAATTTTTGTATTTTTAGTAGAGATGGGGTTTCATC